ACAGGTAGGTCTGGAGCTTGGTACCCTGCTAAGACTTTGGCTACGCTCTGATCCTCCTTTGTTGTCGTTCCAATGTAGGCAAACGCCTTGGTTAGTGACTCCAACAGCCAAGCCCCGCGAGTAGAAATCCACTGAATCGACAGCTTCGGCGACGCATTGGCGTACGCAGCGGCTCCACGGCGAATGGAGTGGCTGGTCATATTCGGCGTCACCGTTTGGCTGAGATCAGGAGGCATCGACCTCAACGAATCTCTAATGACCTCGGTAATATAACTTGCGATATTTGGTCTCTTCCTCTCTCGCTTTTGGGGCGGCTCCGACGTGCTGTTATCGTCTTCTAATAGTTGACCCCAGTACAAAACAGCTTCCTCTTGTGAATACGGTTTATTACCAGGAAGGTCGGACTCTGCGAAATTAGGTGCCAACGGAAACAAATATTCGGAGGGCTCGTCGTAGCAGATAAACAGCAACCCGAATGCGTGAAGCATACACTGCTGCCATCTCTCCGGGGACTTATATATTGAGACGCCTTGAACCATAGAGGTTTTGATCCTGGCAATGTGGAGGAAAAGCTCTCCAGAAGCTGAAATCGAGAGCTGTTGTTTACGTGCAAAGCAGGTATCGACAGCTCTTCCAAATGTATGCCACATCATAGTCAACAGAGCCGCATCATGTACAGACTTCAAACCGGTAGCCACGTCAGCTTTCGCAATTAGATACCCAACGAGTACACTTAGATCATCCACGTTACACCCAGGAGCGTCATTGGTTTGCACATTTGCGCGCAAATTCCTCTCTTCTATGTAACTAGCCATTTTGTCCCGAATCTTGGCAATTCTCTTAGGGTCACCAAGAGAGTTGGTGTAGCGCTCGCGAAGCATGTTCACAACTTGTGAAAAATACCCTAGCGCTGTCGATTTTGCTAGTAGTCCATCCGCCGCTCTCGCCTTGTTGCTTTTCTTCGTCTGTATGTAAATCGAAAAAGCTGTTAGCAATGAGTACATGTTCTGGGTCGGGAGACTAGCTAATTCTCTATGAGCTTTATGTATGCCATCTAAATCGACTCTCGATAATCCTATTGAAGTGAGGAACTCCTCAAACATCTTCTCCGCCGCAATCTCTTGCCCTATTGTGCCAGCAGGAGTGTCCAGACCTCGCGAAGCTCTCCTCATTGCCTCTCGCAGTGTGAATCCCGCGCGTAATGCAAGCTGGTCGGTTGCATGGCGCCTCATCGTGAAGTTTTAGTCTATATTTACTCTTCAACCGCATGAATTTTTTATCTGGTACAGACGCCTTTTACGCGATAATACATGATGTGACTTGATTTTACTAAGGCGTCTTATCGCGAAATGTCGAGAAAGCCGGACAATTCCGGAAATAAGCTGGAATAAACTACCCCTACCCCTAAATAGCGGTTATTGGGTGGTTTGAGCAAATAAAAGTTCATGCTGCAAGTGCCTTTGTCATTATATCGGCCACCATATCATCAGTTCCGATGTGTTGGGTTGTAAATTGCTTCAACTCCACGTGGCGTCTGATCATGTGGTACTTGTTATCGATATGTTTCGATTTCGAATGTTTGCCAGGTTTCGCAGTTAAGGCAATGGCTCCTTGATTGTCTCCCAGTGGTTGAGGTACTGGATGCTTCCAGCTCAACTCCTTGCATAGGCCAGCAAGCCACAACAAGTCCTTGGTCGCCTCTGTCATTGCTACGTACTCAGCTTCACAGGTACTGAGCGCGTTGATTACTTGCTTACGAGATGCGTAGGAGATGACGTTGTCGTCCAGCATAGTGATGTAGCCACTGACACTCCGTCGATCCACAGGGTCATTCGCATAATCAGCATCAGAGTAGCCACTAACTTGCACATCAGTCTGTAGCTTCACATTCATCACTAGTCCGTAGTCACATGTAGCCTTCAGGTAACGCAGCACCCTCTTGGCTTGTGCGAAATGCATATGATCATAGCTCGCAAGATACTTGCCCAGGTGTCGGGTAGCATGAGCTATGTCAGGTCTCGATGCACTAAAGAGGTACTGGAGAGCACCCACCAGTTCTCTGTAGGGAAGATACTCCTTCGAAGCAGGCACGTCTGTCTTCGAGGGCGTCGTAGCTTCTGGTGTAGCACAGCCATTACAGTTTTCCATATGAAAACGCTTCAACACCTCCAGTACGTACTGCTTCTGGCAGTACACTATTTGCCGGCGCGGCCGGTCAATCAGGATCTCGACGCCTAAGAGATATTTGACTGTGCCCATCGTCGTGAGCTCGAATGTCTCTTGCAGTGAGGCAGCGATTGTGGCACACAGGTCACGTGAACCCATCAGCAGTAGATCGTCCACGTAAACAGTCAGTAGCAACTTGACTTCACCATCCTTCCTCAATGTATATAGGCCGTAGTCAGAGTCCGTCCTAGTAAAGCCCATCGCAACAAGCTTCGCATGAAGCGTGCGATTCCAAACGTTCGGTGCTTGCTTCAGTCCGTACAGGCTCTTCAACAATCTGCAAATGGACCCAGGTCCATCCACCTGGAAGCCAGGAGGCTGCTCCATGAAGATAGTCTCGTCCAAGTCTCCATACAGAAAAGCCGTCTTCACGTCAAATTGCAACACCTCCCAACCTCTTTGTACAGCGTAGTAGATAGCCGCACGTATGGTTTCGAACCGGATCACAGGTGCATAAGAGACTCTGTAGTTAATCCCAAGCTGTTGTTTGAATCCATGGATCACTAGTTGCGCTTTGAATCGTTTGATTCGTCCACGCTCATCTCGCTTCACAGCAAAGACCCACCTACACGTTATCACCTTCACTTTCTTGGAATCTTTGCGGGGTACAAGTTTCCAGGTCTTGTGACCCTTCAACGATTGAAGTTCCACCAACATTGCAGCTCTCCACTGCTGCCAGTACTTGCTTGCACGTGCTTGTTTGTACGTCGTCGGAATCTGCACATCCGTAGTCATAGCCTGCACTAGGCCTACCACGTAATCCGACAATCGAACGTTCGCCTTCTGCTTCCTTCTTGGTCGCTTTAGGCAGGGCTCTCTTGATGGAGGTTGAATCTCGAAGCCACTTGTCTCCTTCTCCACCATTGCAGGTTTCTTCTTTATTCTGCGTCTCTTGCGCTTCCTCACTTCCAAACCTTCCTCGGTTTCTTCAGTAGGATCCTGCAACACGGCTGGTGCTGCAACACCAGCAGTCTCCGCACTGTCCTTGCTCACAGGTGCGTCAACGATTGACAAACTTCCACTTGAACTTAACTCAGTTTCTGCAGGTTCGTCAGCAAGTGGTACCGCCTCAAGTGGCTTCTCCGCACTAGAGATGCCGTCACTCCAACCTGGAAGGTACGTCTCCATGTTGGTCTTGATGCGCGCCACAGGTACAGTCTCGCGTAGAGTATGATCACCATCAAAGAATGCGTTCTCTAATAGATGCTTCATGTAGATACCATCGGTCGTAAACTCTTCATGGAACTTCACATTCCCACTACGAGCTGTCACCACTTGAGCTGTCACCAGGTCAATGAATCTGTAGCCTAGGGTCGATTCGCTATAACCCAGTAATAAACACAGTCTTGCCCTTGCTTCCAGCTTTTCTGTCGCTTGTCTTGACTCAGGGGGAACACGCACGTGTGCCAGACAGCCCCAAGTACGCAAATCATCCAGCATGGGCTCCGATTCGTACAGTTTCTGGTGCGGGGACACCAATCCTAAAGGCTTGGTGGGTAGCCAGTTTAACGTCGTCACCACATGCAGGAAGGCTTCTCCCCACAAGGAGTTGGGCATGTGTGTAGCCATCAGCATCGCTCTGATCCTTGGTAGAACCACACCATTAGCACGCTCCACAATGCCGTTCTCTTGAGGAGAATAGGCGTTCGTAAACTGCTGCTCAATCCCTTGGTCGACGCAGTAGTCACTTAGCTCCTTGCTTGCAAATTCACCTCCTTGGTCAGAGTGTAGTCGTCGCACCTTCTTCTCAGGAAAACGAGTTCGCAGCCTGTTCAGTAGGACCTTGATGTGAAACGTTGCTTCACTCTTCTTCTTGAGTAGGAACGGCCACTTGTACCTTGTAGACTCATCTATGATAAAGAGAAACATTGTAGCTCCATCCACAGACTGTTCGTTTTGTGGTGTAGTAGAACACACAAATATCGTCAGATGTGGATTCCTTACACAAACCACAACGAATCGCCGAGTTAGGTCGGCGGTTTGTATGGCCTGCGCAGAGGGTGGTCCCCTCGCGGTCCGGCCCTTCCGGGACAGACGAGTGGCTCGTTTCCACTCGGTTCCGACTAACCAAGTCAGATCACTTCCGAGACTCCGCCGAGTTTGGTTCGGCTGAGCTCGTTCACAACCCTGTGCCCTCCACCAAAGGATGGACGACGGCGCGCGAGCGCTTTTACAGGTCACCGAGCGCAGAGGCTGCTCAGCTAGAAGTGTTACGGCACCCGGGCTATCCGACGTACCGGCCCGCTGAGTATGCGGGACTTTCTTTCGCGCGTAGCGAGACTTTGTCCTACCCGGACCGACCTAATCTCTTGGCGCTACCAGTCAATACTCTACAAGCTATGCCTCTCGAGTATTGACGGCAGGCATAATCCAGCCCTATGCAGGGACTTACCGGAAAAGTGTACTAATTGTCTTGGACTAGGAAAATTCTGCT